GTCTTGTCTTCTGCTTTCACCTCGGTTTTCTTCTCAGGCTCTCCCTTGCCCAAATCCAGCTCTGCATACACCACCTGTAAAACGTACAGTTACTACAAGTGTATAACTTTTGTCTACTCTATCTTATAAAATTTATAAGGGCAAGAAGAAAGTGAAGATTATATGGAAAACACTAGGAAAAAATATAAAAAATGCATAGGTGGGTAGGAGTGTGTACTGTATGTCCTTTTTTTTTCCTCTTTATCAACTGTTTGTTACTGTCACTACAGTATTTCTTATGTGGTGATCACATTGCTTTTGCTTCTATATTCTAGCTTTGCCATATTTGTGTGTGTGTGTGTGTGTTACGAGCAAGTTAATAAAAATCTTATCAAATTTAATTAATATCCATAAATTATGAACATCAGAAATGCTATAAGAGAAACCTTGACAGCTCATGAGTTCAAGAGTTCACTAGTGTCCTACCTCTTTTTTATCCATTGTATTTTGTTCATTATTTGCTACTGGTGAAACATTTTCCGTAGAAACTTTATCTTCGGTATGCTTGCAAAATAACACACACATTTATTAAATCAGAGAAATGGTAATTCACAGTGAAACTACGATCAACTAATGATCATTATTTTTATATATGTAGAGGTTAGGCAGGTTCGTATAAAGTATATTTCAAGCATTACTGCAAAATAATGAGTTAGTTATAATACACTAAAGCTAATATAGCACAAGGTGAAAGAGAGGGGAGGGGAAGAGAACAAAGTTCAGATACTGCACATTCATTAGCTTTCCATACCTCTCTATCATTAGCTGAATTGTGGTCAGAGTAAGAATTGATTGGTACAGTTTCTTCAGGCACTTGTGTTGTTTCTGGGGGCTTGCAAATAAAATATTATATTTAAATACAACCCAATAGCTATATAGCTTACAGAAACCTAGCCTCCTGTTAAGATAGCACTGTACTTAGAGTAATGATAAGGGTCATCAGACATTGACGTAAAAGGCAATTAGAAAGTAGAAATCTAAAAGTAGAAAGTAGAAAACTATTGAATTTGGACAAACTGGAAACGTTTTTGTACTGATATGCAAAGGAAACTTAACCTAACCTTCCTAGGCCTAACACACTATAGTATATATATGTGCTATACAAGAAGTACTACCTAAACGGGATGATGGGTTGTCCACAGAATGTCTAGCATGCACGTTAGAAGAGCCAGAGTATAAGGAACAGTAATGATTGTCTAAAAGGTTACAACACTTTCTGGGGGATCCCCTTGTGGTTCCTTGAAGTCATCTTGCAGAGATGGCAACCAACTACTGGGTTTTTGCTGCTACTTTCATGCCACAGATTCTGTCTGTGGATGCTTTGTGGGTTGAATTTGCTTCCTTGGTTCCCCATCTCAAGACTTGTATTTCTCAGGTCATCCACAGTGTCATTCGAATTCCATGGCTGATGTGACCTAGTAGTTGGAAGCTTGGTAGGCCAAACAAAATTCCAAAGCTGATGTGACCTAGTACTGTAGTTGGATGCCATCTTTGTGAGGCAGCTTCAGGGAGCCACAGGGTCCCATCCAGAAAGGCATTTCATTACATTCAACAAAGGGTTTATTAAGTACCAAGTGTCCTTTTTTGGCATGCAAATTGTCTAGTATTAAGTTAATAATTATTTTTAAAGTTTCTCAGATTATTTTAAATCTAAGCAATGAATGCACCTATTCAAACTTACCTCCTTCTCATCTGGACTTTGTTCCTTATATGGGCTGCCCTTGTTTTCATCCTTAGTTAAAGATTTCCTTTCAGTTTCTTCCTGCTTTGCATCCTGCATTTTCATAAAATCAAGAGGAAGTAGAGGAGATTAACAGGATCATATATTAAACTGGTAAATATGCTAGTTAGATTTGACATGCATTTACCAGATTGTAATGCAGTGGTAGAAATTAATTTAATGGTTACTGTAATTAATCATTAAATTAATTAGGTAATGATAACAGTATGATTAGGTAACGAGATTATTAGTGTATTTTTAATACTGTAATGTAAATAAACAAATACATTGTTTTCAATTAGGTAATAGGACTAGTACTATATTTTACTTACACTTTGCTTCTTCCATATCTAATGAAAATATTAGGTGCTTCAACAATTTAATTTAACCTTGACATGAGCAAGTGGGAGCACACCACTTCTGTATGTACACCATACATGCTTGTGTATATGCATACATACATTTTTCTTTAACCCTTAAATTGCTTGGTTAATTAAAAGACCTACATTGTGGTGCGAATGACAAAAAATAGTTCATCAAACTAATGCAAAAAAAAATTCCATTTCACAATTCAAGCACAGGTGGTAATTGCATATAGCAAATGCGGCAGTTTAAGGGTCAAGTAACAATGAAGCTGTTTTATACATGGATTAAAATCTTACCTGATCTTTCTTTGGTTTCTTGAAGACCTGTGTCAACTGTCCAAGGCGGTTCTTCAAATTGGCAGTGTGGGTTGTGTTAGGTCCTCTTGCACTCTCGGTGTCGCTGCTGAAACAAGCATGCATCAGTAAGAGGTCAGTGTTTGTGAAAGAAAGACTAGAAGAAAAGGGGTGTGCATCTAGATAACACACATCGGATCCATCTTGTGCAGTACTATATTAATGTTAATTTTGTAAGTTGCTTTGTGATTTCTAAACCTATCAAGGGAAGTGCATAATTATCGGGTGATTGCACATATCTGAAGTTTTAAATTACGACTTTTTATACCGAAAATGTGTAAATTAGTGGAAACGGTGATTGGTCCGATTTTGCCCAAATCCCCCTGCAGTTTTCAAAATGCGATGCCTATCGGAAATGTGTTTTTTGAACTGTATTTCTGTGTGGAATTCAGGGCGATTCCGCACAGTTGGCGGAGTGGTGGCCATGAGTGTACAAACCACTCTCAAATGTTTATACGCTTCTCAACTTTCTCACTTCCATTTTTGTACCATGTTATTCACTGTCGTATCAAATTGTTCGCAATATCATGGTGCGCATTATAAAACCAGTCCCATAATATGCGGAGATTAAATGGAATTTTTGCAAATTTATTAACAGATGACAGCATTGCTGTCATCGGGGCCTCTACATATTTTGGTTTTATGATGTCGAGATCCTCATCAGAACACGGAAGTGTTAGGATACGACTTTTTATACCAAAAAATATGGAAATTAGTGAGAACAGTGATTGGTCAGATTTTCTCCAACTCCCCCTGCAGTTTAAAAATACTATGCCTATTGGAAATATGATTCTTGAGCATTATTTCTGAGCAGAATTCAGGGTGATTGCATGTATTTTGAGTTTTAAGTTATGACTCGTTATACCAAAAATGTGCAAACTAGTGAAAATGATGATTTGTCAGATTTTGCCCAAATCTCCCTTTATTTCTGAGCCTTGTATACTGTACAGTACTTATTAAAAAAAAAAGTAAAGCAATTTAATTGACAAGGAAGAAATTTTACAAGTTTAAGATGAAGCCAATTAATGTAAGTACAATAGAGAGCATGAGTCTAATGGTGTGCACTGAACAAGTTCATAAAATAATTGAGCAATGATAAATCAAGTCACTAATTTGAGAATGCACCAACATGTCTGTCCTAGCTCAAAATGGAAGTAGAAATATCTAATGGAGAACCCCGTAAGACCAGGTTAACTCAAACTATGCATTTAAAGAGGCAGCAATTGAATGAAGAGATCAGTTCAATGTCTTTGATCGGACATGGGCCACAAATTCTACCAGGCGTAGGCATAGTTGAAAGTAAGCAAAGGCTTCATCTACAGTAGCATGAGCAACCCACCTAATGAAAGTTTAAAAGAAAGACAAGTCACTTAAATGAATAATGAAGTCTCAGCCAGCCCAGATAATATACCAGAGGGTAAATGGGAAGTGTGCAACTTTTTGCTACTTTGTTGACATGTCCTACAATTAGGCAGGAAAACTAGCAGTTAGCGGAGCATTACTCAATATTTTGACGCCGCTGGTACAAGCAGCATTGGAGTCGACATCTGCACTGAAAATGAATGAGCCTACTAAAAGTCTTTTCTGGATAGCATAGAATATGCTCCAGTGTTTCCGCATGTCCCAATACAAATAGGTGTGGATGTTTGAAAAGATCCATTCTGTGCAAGAGTGTCTACGTGTCCCTGGCCGTTTGCTTTTATTCTTGTGAAGAGCAAGGCATTGTAACCAATTGGTATAGTTCAGAAATAAATGATTAAAATTTAAAATGAGTTTGACATGAAGCAGGAAAGAGAGATGGAAAAAATCTTGGTGAGAAAATATTAGTTTGCAAAATCAACAATAAATGGGGATATAATAATAATAATAATTCATTGTGTCGGGGGACAGGAAGCCAGAGTGTATTCATACAGGTTAGGCTTTTATCGAGATCCCCCAACTCCCCTCAGGTCGATTTACTGACCCCACCCAGGATGCAATCCCACAACAAGCTGACTAACTCCCGAGTATTTACTTACTGCTAGGTGAACAGGTGCATTAGGCGAAAGGAAATGTGCCCAACCATTTCTGTCCCGCCCGGGATTCGAACCCAGAATTCTTGATTGTGTGTCAAGAATGAACCCGACTGTACTACCAGGACCCTTAACCAAGTAGTAACCAAACACAACTTTCTTTAGAGAACACAAATAAAAATTTTCCAAGTACTCACTGTTCTTCCTTGGGATCTTTGCCCTCTTCTGGATCAGGTGAAGCAAGTGGAGCTGAACAGGATGCAAGACGATGACACGTAAGTATGGCAAATTTTATGTAAATGGTATATAATAATGCATGAATTACTTTTAAAGTGTTAGAATCAACAAATCAAGCTATGTTAGAAATTAAATATAATTTTTCTTATGTAAATGCTTTTATTTTTATACAGAATTAAATGTGTAATGTACTCATGCACTACAGCACAGGAATGTTTTCTGTATTATAATTAGAAGATACATCATGAGAGGATTTGATAAACTAAAAACGAATCCATTTAACATTTATTAAAATTCGTATAGGTCTACTTAAAATTACATGGGGGTAAAAACACCAAATACATTAATATGGATAGAGTTTTAAATGATCACAACAATGATCACAATCACCAAATTGTAGATTTCAATCTACACCTAACCCACAATTTACTTAGTTTTTGTGAAGGCGTTAAAGTTGTGGATGAATTGCATCAATAATATCCAATGAAAGTCATGTGCTTACTCGATTACTCTCGACCAAACAGCAAACCAGAACTTTAGATCGTTACCAGGGAAAAAAAAAACAATCTAATCATATGAATTAAGTCCTGTAACTGATTCAACTATAAATTTATCTACAATGGATCCAATTATGCGTTAAAATAGTAAATTTCCAATTTACATTACAAGACTGAGTATTTTGCAATCTAATAAAATACAAATGCACAGTTATTTACAATAAAAACTGATGAATATAAATCCTCTTAAAATTTCCTCATTAAATCTGAATGAAAATTGACAAGGCAAAATCTTGCCACATAATAACACAAGGATGAAGGACTAGATCATCCTTGTCTAAGTGTATGGGCAGACAACACAGCCAAGGCAGGTGACAGGAAGGGGGCACACCGGCTGCCTACAATGTTGTAGGAGGCACGTATCCCAGAGATCAACCAGTGGCTAATATGCCCTGCTGTCAACCTCCCCACAGGATGCCTTGTGAGCAGCATACTACAGGAAGCTCTTAGGGCTTCTCTCTGAACAAATCATTAACCATGTTAGACTGTACATCATTGGTTGAGCTGAGAGAGGCCTGCAACAGTGTCACAAGACCTACAGTATCATAAGAGAAGACTAGCAACAATGTCTCAAGAGACATGAAACAATGCTAAAAGAAATCTTGAAACAATGTCACAAAACTCCAATAATGTCACAGAATGAGGTACACTGTCACTAGACACCTGCAGCAATGTCACAAGAGACCTGAAACACTGTCACAAGAAGACATCTGCAACAAAGATATCTGTAACACAAAAACCTTGTAACAATACCATTGAAGACATTGGAGCAATGTCACAAAGGACCCAAGATAATGTCACAAGAGACCTGCAACAGTGCCACAAGACAATGCTAATATTGTCACAAGACCTGAAACAATATCACATGGTATACGTAACAATATCACATTGGACCAGCAATTGTCACAAAACGCCTGTGATATTATCATAAATTACGTGCAGTAATGTCACAAGACCTAAAACACTGTCGTAAGATACCAGTATTACAAGACCTACAACCAGTATTATAAAAGACTTACAACAATGTCACAAACAGACTTGCAACAATGTCATAAGCAAAAATTTGCAACAATATCATGAGGCCTAAATTCATTTGATGATATAAGTAAAGCTATGTGTGACCTGTGATACATAAAAATGGAATGATTAAAACAGCACACCTATTCAGCACTGAGGACTGGCAACATTGACAGTTAGACTAACCTGTGATTAGTGAACTCACATCTCAAGTGTATAAATATAATGCATTCTGCACTCACACATGACCACCCTTCAGAGCTTTATCCCTAGAAGATTTACAACTTTTCTAAGGCACAATAACCAACAGGTGCAGAGCAATAATTCCATGCAGGTCATTAAGGCTATGTCACCTGAGCTGTAACTAATGAAATGAGCCCAACTGGAATGCATCAAATAACTTCTATGCACTAATTAGTTAAGGTGATTTGGTAGTACTGTAATATCAACCCAAGACAAAGCCAGGTGATCAACATTAGATTTACAGTTTGTCCATAAAATATACCCCCCTTCCCACTCCACCCCCCTTACACACACACACACACACACACACACTCACACACAACCTGATTTAGAGCCTGTACTATCACTAACTTCCTGAAATATTCAAAGCCCTCCACTATTCAGAATATGTGCACTGATTTTTTTCAGATGATGTTAAATAAGTATTGTTCTGTTCAATTCTGGTTATAATTCAGTTCCTGCTCACACATCAGTGTTCTTTTTTCCATTGATCTCTTCCACTTGAGTATGTTCCAAGTTTCCATTGCCATTGGCCACTGTGTTGTCGGTCTTGCCGTTGACATGGTCTGTAGAGGCCTTAACAGCTTCGTTGGCTGTGCCATTATCAGTTTCGTTGCGCTCAGGATCTTGGATGTGGGCTTTACTCTCGGCACGCGAGGCTGTGGCAGACCGGGCCAAGGGTTAGTCAGGCAAGTGCTGGGCAAAAGTTGTTGGAAAGAAGGGCTTGCTATGTGCCACCTGTACTATACTAACACTTAAGCACCCCCACAGGCTACTTTCAACACTACTATATACATTCAAGAAAGAGGACAGGTGGCATCATTTGAAAAGTTGATATACTGAGCATTAAAATAACTTGTAAGTTAGAAGTTGATCTTTTGAAAAACTAACCACAAAAACCATAAAAAATGCAAATTTGCTACTGACAACCTTTACCTTGAATGGCAGATTGATAACAAGACTAAATAAACGTCACATTAATAAGTTGCAATCAAGCCTTTTAACTAAGCCATACATAAACTATTAACATGATTAAGTGAAATCTTGCAAAAAGAGCCAACATTACAAAAATTATACTAACACAAAGTAGCAAAGTGTTAATAGCATCTAATTCTAAGATTGTTTATCTTAAAAATAATGCTATATAAACTGTTAACCTGTAATTTTGAAAATTGAAAGCAACAAAAGAAAAATTTGGCAAATAAATGCTATAAATTCATTGCAAATAAAAAGCAAAGATTATACCACTTAAAGACAGTGAGTAAAAGATTTTTATCCCTGCACCAGAAAATACCAGAGTCCACAAAAGATTACAGTAACCCACTCACTGCTGAAACGTCAGTAGCATTTTCCTTAAACGGTTAAAAACTTTATGGCAACAGCTTGTGCAATCCCATCAGTGAAGCTGCATGTTTATTATAGTGTCAAATGAGGCAAAATTAAGATATTTAAGCCAATGTCTGACAGCCAAAGCACTTGCCTTTCTCTGCCCAAATGTTTGACCTATACAAAGGCCAAACCAAACAAAGGAGTCATATTGTACCATATGTTAAACTGGGATTCCTGTAATCTAAATTCAAGATAGTCTACATATCACTCATGATGTATCTACTAAGTTTACCTTCACATGGTGTGACAGATGTAATCTTTACATGCTTATCATGCAAGTTGTCTGGCTTTAATAAACTGCTACTAAAAGTTCTTAATTAACTTCAAACTAAAATTGAAAATATATGCACTTTAATTAAAATTAAAAAGTATACAGTACTCTGAATCAACAGATGCAATGTTTCTAGAAGAAATAAAGCAGCTTATATACCATTACCACTTTACATAATACATAAAGAAATCCTTTGAGAGAAATAAGGTAAAGCTATAAAAGGGAGAGATATTTCATATTCAAATTTAAAATTATAATTAAAATCCCAAAAGGTTTGCAACATGCATAATACTGTAATTCAATATCAACAGCCAGAACGTACATGAGCTATCAAATGCCTCTTGTACTAATATGGTCCATGCAAAGGTTCATGTACTCTAAAAATATGAATCATAACAAAGCCTTAAAAAATGAACATCATTCTCACATACAGTAACACAAGGACCATCATTCTCACAATACAAAATACAAAAATAATGATCACCTTGAAGCTAATGGTGAGTTTTGCTTGCTTAATTTTTCTATCACTACAAATGCAGTAAAACCCTGCCAGTAAATACAATTTCCTCATTCATTAAATAATTTCATTTACTATTACTGTGGTTAGCAATGACCCTGGCAGAAACTTACCCGAGTATAAATATGTAGGATACGATCAAGTTTAGGTACTACAAGATATATGGAGATTATCTTGAAAGTAAAATCTCAATTTATTCCAACTGCTGAATTTAATTATGAAATAGTTTTAAGGCATTATTTAATACAGCTTGAATGCTCTTCATTGGGATGCCAGAATTAAATCATTTATCCACCTTTGCAGTACAGTACTCTACTTATATTTTATAAAATGGAAAATTGTAGATTCAAACCATAATAAAATAAATAATTTACCAGGATGTCTGTTGGAATCTAGGCCAAATGTATTCCTTAATACAGGTAGTGGTATGGGTGTTAAAAGGTTCACCAAGTGCAGTACCTATCACTGCTCACCATGCCAGATTTCTGGGGGGAGCCCCGTCGGCTCCCCGGAGCTTTACCGGCTGATATGCTAATGTCAGACTTTGGCATCAGTCATGTGTATGGAGTTCTAGGGCCTACCGGGGACCACGAGCCAGAACCTGGCCCCCTCAGAGAGGCAAGGGGAGCAATGGCCTATAGAAACCCCCGTGTGGTTGGAAGCATTCTATGTCTGCCATCGACCGGGTCAAGCATCCAGAAAGGTAAGCATTCCAAAACAAACCCCTATTCTGGTGAAAATTGCTACCTAAGCCGAACTAGTGAATAGAACTCTTCAACAGAAAACACGGAAACTAGTATGACGTCATACGTCACCGCGCCGCTGTCTGCGCAGCTCCCCCCTCCCCGGGAGGGGGAAGGGGGAGCCCCAGACCTCCCACGCCGGCTATCCACCCATCAGTTCTTCGGCTGATGCTATAGGCAATGGTTATGTGCTCCGGCTCCAGTGGTTGTTTCAGCACTGTACCTAGAGTGTGGTGTCTGTTTTCTAGGTGGTGCGTGAGCCGGGTGTGATTCTTCAGTACTCGGGCTGCATGCGCCTAGGGTTCCCTTCCCTAGGTGCCCTGTAAGTACTGCCCTTGGGGCTTGGGGCCACCTTCCACAAGTTCCTTGGGTCCTGCCCCTGCTTGGCCGTTTACCGCTTGGTTTTCGGCCGCTCTTTGTGTGCTCGGGTGTTCTGTCTCCCTTGTTCGCCTTAGAGTAAGGGGCAGTGTTTGCACTGGTGGGGCGCGGGGTACTGTGCAGCTTGTCTTTACCAATCATAGCGGCCGGCTCTGTTCCGCTTGGGTACGCTGTCCTCTTGCGGGGTTTTCTTTTTCTTTTGTTTATATACCTGGTGGGGGGGTCTGCCTTCGTTCTTGCCCCTTGTGTCCCTTGTGTTCTGAGTATTTCTGGTGGTACCCCCTGCTAGGTCCCCGTGAGTGTACACGTCCCGGGGGTTCAGCTCTTAGAAAGTTGTTTGGTAGCTTGGGTGCCGGTTAGCAGTACCCTGCCTGGGATTACCTGAGCGCGAGTCCTCTTAAAGTAAACGCTCGGGACCCTGGGAAACCCCTGGGGGCGCGCGGGTCCGATGGATGTGACCCCAGAGCCCCCCCCTCGCTTCCAGCGAGTTTGAGGGTTGCTCTCACCTTTTGTCTCTGGGTGACTCTCTGTTTTGCCTCCGTCTGCTGCCTGTGGGGTCGGTGACACCTTCGACCCGGTGTCCTGCGAGTTTGGTTGCTCGTTGTGGCTCGGTTACCCAGTTGTGCTGACAAAGCGGGTGCGGGCAGCAGGGGCGTTGCACTTGAGCCTTGGTGGTGGCAACGTTCTCGTGGTTTCCTCCCCGGGAGCCCCGGGGCTGCCCCGTTGTATTTCGTTTTGGGACTTGGGGGTGTTGGTTGCTTCGGTTCCATCCACGCCCCCTTGTCTTTCCCCTGGTTCACCCTTCCTGCCTGTATCCGGTTCCTTACCGTCTGTAGGTTCAGGGCGGGGTGTTTGGTGGTGTTGAGACTCGGGCAGTCTCGGGGAATTCCCCTTCCGGGGTAGTGACGGGGGCATTTGGGCCTGTTCCTCCAGCCGTGTTGTATGAGTCTGCCAGTGGGCTCCCTTCCTTAGTGTTTTCACGGCTGCCCCGGTTTTCTGGTACGGCCGGGGCTTTGGGGGAACGGCTCGGCCCCGGGGCCTGTCGTGTAGGTTCCCGGGGCTGGGGAGGGGCTGACTTGGGGGGGCCTTGGCCCCGTTAGACCCCGTGGGGGGTTTTATCCCCCTCTCGGCGGGGCTTGTGGTTACGCGGAGTGGGGTCTTTCCTCCCCACTCGCCGTACGTGCTGTTGGACGTCGGCCCCTCCCCGGGCTCGGTTCCTTGGCCTTTGAGTCGGTTGGTTCCGTCCTGTGGGTGGATGTTTCCTCCCCCGCTTTTTGGGACGGTGTTTTTGTCATGTTTCCCCGTTCGATGGGGTTCTGCGTGACTTTTGATCTCGGGTGCGCCTGCGCCTTCGTGTGCCTTCGGGACTAGTGTTGGCTTCTGTGTTCTCGAGGGTACGGGAAGGTTTTTCGCTACTTCCCGCATTATTGGAACGTCTGTCGGCTCCTAGTACTTGTCGCCCTGTTGGGCTACTTGTCGCCCGGTTGGGCTACTTGTCGCCCGGTTGGGCTACTTGTCGGCCGTTTGGGCTACTTGTCGCCCGTTTGGGCTACTTGTCGCCCGTTTGGGTTCCCTTTTTTTGGGCTCTTTGCTTCTTTGGCCGGTTTTATTGTTCCTGCTTCCTCTTTTGGCTCTTTTTCTCGTGCAATAGTCCTGGCTGGCGCCTTCCCGCAGGGAGGGTGTGCGGTTCGGCCTGCGTGTTATGCGCATGCGCCGTGGAGTTTGTTTTGGTCTGGGCGATGGTTCAGTGCTGGGGTTTTGCGCCCTTTTTTGCTACAGTGCTTCGCCTCTCGTTCTTCTCCCTGGCTGCGGTATGTGCCCCTTTGCGCCAGGGGTGTCCTGGTTCCCAGTTGTGGGGAGGACACCGCGGTTTTCTGTGTCATGGGTGTGGACCGCCTCCTTCGCCTCTCCCTGTTCTCCTGCGGGTCCGGCTCTGGCGTCTTCACCTGGCGGTGCTCCCAAGTTCTTCTGGGCACGGTTGAGTCGTGTCAAGTTCGAGCCACCATTCGCCGGGTGAGTTTCTGCGGTCTGGCGTCTTTTGGCCGGGCGCTGGATGCGGCGGTGTTCATATACCTGTCTTTATTTAGGTATAATTTTGTACGACTGAGACCGTTCGCACACCAGTGACTGTCCCTTTATCACCCCTTCCTGTCCCCCTCATGTGCATGTCCAACCCATGCTGGAGTCGTTCAGGGGACCCTCCTTTTTTAATGTTGAGGTGTGGGGGTTGTAGGGTTGGTTCTGTACTCACCTGGTGAGGCTCCTGGCTGTGCTTGCAGGATTTGAGCTCTGGCTCTTGGGTCCCGCCTATCTGGTAGAACTTGCGGGATAGTACCAGTGGAGTGCAGTGGTGCTATTGGC